TATCTGACATCAGTGATTAGCAGGTGGACAACATCTGACTTTTGTATATTTAAAAAAATCTAGTAATGTTTAGTCTATCCATGTAGAGTCTTAAGAAAATAATTCCCTCATTTTCAGAAAGCTTTTCTGCATGAAATTTTGGTGCTTCTTTATAAGTGTTGTTTTGGGGTTAGGCAGAGTAATTTGGCTTAGAGCTGCCAATCTAAACATGAAATGTTTAGAAAAAAATGTGCATCTCTAATCTGACATGGTTTTCAGAGAAGCATCTGTAGTTTGTTTTATTGTGGTACTTAGATACATATTCAATTTCTTTCTTCAGCAAGTCCAATCTTTCATAACTAAAACTGGCACAGGAGTTTACATGAGTTTACAATATACATGCTGGTCTGGACAAGAAGCATTTACAGATTAATTTGGACTGGAGATAACTGGATCTGAAAAGATGATCATAGAAATGTCTAGGTAAAGCCCCTGACCATGGATAGGATACATATTTTCATTTGGTGCAGAAAGCTGAATGTTTTGTAAATATTTGGGACCTCTGCTGTAGTTTGCAAAACTGTTTGTAGAAACTCTCCACAACAGACACACCCAGAAGATCACCAACCCTGTCTGTTGGACCCAGAGCCAGGAATCACATGCTTTTCCTGCCTGTGTCCCAGTTCAGTTTCTGTTTAGTTTTAACTTTAACTTTTTTTTTTTAATTGTAAACCTCCCCAAACCTTTGTACCTTATGTCTTCACTCATCAATAGTTTAGAACATACCTGCTTCACAAAAAAATCTAGAAAATGAAGTTATTTTTAAGTGGTTTCTTGGTGTGTAGAACTTATGGTTACACAACTAAAACCCAAGTGCACCTTACTTAGCTTTGTTTTGCATGGGAGGAAATGTATGAAGCAGTAAGTGTGGGACTGACTGCAGGGATGCTACTGGATCCCATCCTGCTGCTTCAGCATAGACTCCCTTTCTATGTTGGCTCCTTTGATGTGAGACTGGATGGCAGAATCCAGGGGGCTTGTGTATTTGAAGCAGACTGTGGGAAGGGTGACTGCCAGAAGGATTGTACCTGATGCACCCAGGTCAGGGGAGAAAGTGAGAGTTGTTTGAGACAACCTGGACATATACTCATGTATCCTGCATTTGACACTGGCAAGGCTGCACCTGGAATCCTGTGTTCAGTTTTGGGCCCCTCTCTACAAGAGAGACATTGAGGTGGTGGAGTGTGTCCAGAGAAGGGCAGTAGAGTTGGTGAAGGGTCTGGAGCACAAGTCTGATGAGGGGCAGCTAAGGGAGCTGGAATTGTTTAGCCTGGAGAAAAGGAGGCTCAGGAAAGCCCTTATTGCTCTCTACAACTACCTGAAAGGTAGTGGAACAAAATGATTTCAATATAAAATAGAATTTTATGTGCTAACATGAATGTGGAAAGCTGGAGAAGGAAAATATGAATTCTGATACTTGATCTCCTTGAAATCCTGGAAGTATAGCTATGGTGTATTTCAATTACTGAGGAAAAATATCTTCTACTATTCAGACTCTTGCTACCTGATTTGAATTTATGACTGTCTAAATGTGCTGTGTGGCTGAATTACAAGGCATGTGTGCATATTAAACCTGGTGACTGTGGGAAGCAAGTAACAGTGATATACAACTTAAAGAATGATCAAAACCAGGAGCTGATGTGACCAGTGGGCTGTAATAAATGTAAGTATTTTGAGTGCTTGTCATCTGTCCATGTGATCCTAATGCTGGCAGCTTGTGGAAAGTGATGCGTGGGAAACTAGTGCAAAGTGCTGATTTATTTTATGCTAATGGGGAAAAGTCCATATTGTTCAAATTAAATCCTAAAGCAGAAACAAATCATCCAGCCAAAGCCCATCCTATGGAGTTTCATTGAAACAGTTAGTGGTCTCTTTCATGACCTCAAAGTAAAAATTAAACAATGTTAGGGGCTGCTGTTTTCAAGTGCTTCTGGCTGCTGAAAGCAGCTGAGATTCTCCTACAGATGGCTATTTAAGTTAAAAGCCAAATGGGGAGATCACAGCAATTAGTGTGCATTGGCTTCTAACTGCATCAGAGTGAATAATGTGGGAGAAGTGAGCCAGGACTCTGCCTCGGCCTGTGCTTTTTCCCACCAGAGGCTGAGTACCAGCAGTTCTTCTCAATTAAAAAAAAAAAAAAAGAGAGAGAGAGGGGGGAATTTCTTGCTGCTGCTTCACTTGAACAAAATAAAAGAGATTTTGAACAAAATAAAAGAGATTATGCAAAGATAGACTAAAGTGGGAGTGGGAGGAAAGAAAAAATATTTCAAAGAGAAGAACAGCCTACTTCAGGGCTCTCTGACTGGATCTGTAGTACAATGTTTTCCTACTTTGGCCTTAAACTGCCTCCCCAGAGGCTCACTGCAGGCTTGTTGCTCTCCCAGGCTTTTTTCTATGTAGCTTGAGGCCTAGAAAAGCGTAATAGGACTTTAGCATTTTTATTTAAAAAGAACTGAAGGGCCAAGTGATTTATCATGGAGATTTAGAATTTCCTGGGGAAGAACAGAGGGACAGAAGTCTTATGAATTAATTTTTATTTTTTTTTTTTTACTAGGGGGAACTCATTTATGTAAGAGATACAAAACCATACAATAGTATAACCCCAGTTTCACTAGAATTCTTATAACATTGTCCTGTGAGGTACTTTTATCATCACTGCTGAGTGTATTTGGATTTTTATTTTTCCAGAAGTTTCTAGCTATCCACTGGAATGACCTGGAGCAATGAGATCATGTTGGAAGATACTGATCAGAGAACTGGTCTCAGATTTCAAGTCAAAAAATGCCTCTGGAGAATGGTCAAGAACAAAACCAGCATTTTTTCCTTCAGGTCTTTTTCTTAGGGAGCATGGAAGACAATGGCAAAATGTTTCTGAGTCATGGTCATTGTTGAAGTAGACATTCAGCTTTTGCCTCTACTAGATGGAGTGTGATTGTCTTATGCTCTTTAGTGGCTTGTCATTAGCACCTCAGGACTAGTAATCTGTAAATTAGAATTTATTCCATTGGTGCTCCAATGAAAAGGTCTATTTGTGAAAAATTAAAAATGAGGATTGCCTTCTACACTGCTATTATAGCCTTCTTAAAAATGAGGAATGAGGAGCCCAGAGCTAATAAATCCAGAACAGAGATGCTCCTAATAGTGTGTGAAGAGTGACTAGGGGACAGTTCTCAGTAATCTCTGAGTGGTCATGGTAAATCCTGAGGACTGGTAGGATTTATGAAGAGAACATCCTCCACCAACATGTTAGCCTTCTCCAATATAAAGTCTGGCTTGGTGGAGGAAATGAGAGCATCTACCTTGACTTTAGCAAAGCTATCGACACTGTCTCCTGGAACATCCTCATGGATGAGCTGATGAAGTACAGACTAAGGGCACACTGAGGGAGATTGAAAACCAGCTGAGCCACTGGCCCCAGAGGGTTGTGATCAGCAGCACAGAGTCCAGCTGGAGACCAGTCATTAGTGGGGTACCCCAGGGTTCACTACTGGGGCCCTGTTTGTGCAAAATAGGAAATGTGAAACGTGTTCTGCCACCTGATGGCATCTGACAGCTGTGTGCACATACACAAGGTTGGTGAAAGGACACTGAAACCAAATCAACACCCATGGGCACAGCCAAACTACCCCAGGATTTAACAGTATAGGATATTTCAAGTAAAGGTTACTCAGGTCATAGGGGGAAGCAAAATTTGTGTGGCAGAAAGTCTCAAGCTGATTGTAAACTGAAAGAATAGAATAAATTGATGCCAGCCAGCTGTGAGAGCTGGTGACAAAGACAAGAGGCTGTGGAGCTGACCCTTGACACTAGCAGTTGCAGTTGCCTGGCACAAAACCTCTCCTATTGCTGCAACAGAAAGACCAGGAACAACTGCTGGTGCCAGCAGGGGGTTGAGGAGAAGCCAAGCCGAGCTGCACTTCCATCAGAATTTATTTACTCAAAGATCAGATGAAATACAAACCAAACCACGGAGTTCAGCGTAACAGTGTGCGCACCAGAACTGACGGGTTTGCACCACTTAATGTAGAAAAGGAGGGTGTTTGAGATCATGGCTGCTCCACAGCCTTGGGGGCAAGTACAGCATCATAAACACCAGCATCACAAAACAGCTATTTTGTAGTGGTTGGAACCAATGGGATCATTCTTTGTTCTCAGGACAACTGAAGGTGCAAACTCAGCTTACTTACTTTTCCTCTTGACTGTAATGGGCTTTCCAGCCACCTTCTCTGTGGTACCTTTTGATAAACAATTACAGCACCTTGATATTATCGTTTCTTTGAATAATTCTGGAAAGCATCCTAATTTGGGAAAGTAGGTACTTCTTTATATTAAAATAATGTCCCCTGTGACACAGCATTCACACAGAAATGTAGTGAAGTATTTGCACAAACTCTGCAAAAATCAGTCCCTGAGGGGGACAGTTTTGACCAAAAGCTGTATACATTTTGGACTGGAAATTATTCTCTGTGGAACACAGACAGACACACCCTCCCCCTCCCCTTCTTTTCCTTATGAAAGGCGTACTCCAGTAGTTGTTCAATATGTTAATATAAATACAGAGAGGTTAAATTAACCTTTCTGTGACTTATTGATTGAGAGGACTTGAGCATACTAAATTAGAGTTAGCATTTAAGCTACCTTTTAATTCAATTTTGGATTGAAATTCAGATGAATGATAGAAAAAAAGATAATTCAATAATAAATTAACATAGCTATGCCTATACCACCTCCAGTTATTTCTAAATTAGAGTGAAGAGTTTCCATGTATACAAGCAGTGTATTGAATCTGAGATGAATTGTACAGTTAGAGATTAACAGCTGCCAATGCTTTGAAGATGCTGGAAGGGATTTTTTTTTATTTGAAAGAGTTTTATCCTTTATCCTTTTTTTTTTTTTTTAATACTATCAGAAATCTGCTGGGATAGTAGTGTAATAACGTTGATTCTCTTTATTGTCTTTTCAAGGTCTGCCAAGCTTCTTGCAAAATGTTTGAGTCTGTTCTCACCTCGGTATAGTTTGCTTGCCTGGTTGGGATAACGCTGGCTGGCTTGGTTGTGTGGTGATCCATGACCTGTCTGCACAGGCATGCTGGTGTGGCAAGACAGTTTGGAGTAGCAGGTAGGGCAGATCCTCACAGACCCATAATGCTGCTTTCTGAAGACACTTAATTTTGGCAGCACTGCTGCTGTAGAGTTTTGACACTTTCTGGATGTATTTGTGTTAGATTGTAGTTTGAGTGCTCAGCATATGAAAGTATGAAGTCCTTTGTCTCACAAAGTTCACAGAAGAGACTCTTGTTGATGTCAGTGAGGTTTGGGTTAGGTCCTTACATGGTATTCTCCTGCACAAGCCCTTGACATTCACTGAAGAGACAGATATGTGCTTAAATGAGTATGTTCTGCCAGTTTTTTGATAGACATCTCTGTAAGTACTATCAAATTTGCACACAGACAAAATATATAGAAGTATAATCGCAGAAAGCAAATCCAGTCGGTCTATAGAACTTAAAATAAATTGAGGCATGGGTCGACATATTCAGCAATGCACATGAAATGCATTTATTAACCCCGAAGAAAGAAGCCATTGTAGAATGAAATTAAAACAACTCACACACGGGGGCAGTGTTGGCTGCCAGAATTACTGTCAGCTTTTGTTAGTTCAGGAGGCTTCGTGCAACCTGCTTTTGGAAAGGTTGAGTGTCTTTTGGAAAGTTAAGTATACAGACATACACCTCACATGCTTAGACCTCATATATAAGACTTTTTTTTCCTCTTCAGGAGAAACTTGGTGGGGGTTGTGTCTTTATTCATGGCAGTACCTGAAGGATTTTTGTGAAATATGGCATATCTCATAGTTTCAGTCATGCAGTTCAACATATTTTTAACACAGTTCATGTAGGGCATAAACAGCTTCCATATGCACATTATTTGGAGGAGCATTTCACCACATACGAGGAACTAGACAGATTGTAATAATACAATCCTGGGTAAAAGGGAAAGCCATTATTTGTCCCAGTTCAAATATGTTGTTTTGCTAAACATCAAATGTCTGCGAAACAGCTGAAATGAAAGACTAATATTAATAAGAGAACTTTATCAGCTCAGTGTTCCCCCTTCTCATATTTCCTTCTGAAATCAAATTGTAACATGTATCATGATCACACTTAACAGTCTTAATGCCTTGTATCATTATGTTCCCAAAGCAAGTAACTTCTGGCTTAGTAACAACATTTAAAAAATTTTAGCCTTATATGTAAGCTAGAATGGTACAAATATATAATATAAATATGTATATATTTATTAAGATAAGTGTCTTTGTATGTAAGCTTATGTTTAAATGGGAATGCCAGTGTTTAGGAGAAGAGGAAATAAAAATTCAAGAAAATAAATGTCTTCATTAGAGAAAACTGTGCAGCTAAGCAGCACGATGCCTTATTTAACAAACATTATTGTAACTACTTTTGTAACTCTCCTACTAAAAAAATAAACCAGAAACCAAAGAAAAACAAGATTGGAGTAAACATCTTGTTCTGTGGCTTTATCAGTGGTTGACTTCCTCCTCCCTAGACATATCACACATGATTTGTACTTCTCAGTCTTCAAATTAGAGGCAGGTGAATGTCTCCTCTGAAACTTGTTGTATTTAGATGTCAGAAGCTCTCTTACATGTCTCTACTGACAAACAGAGGGTGATATTTCCAACAGAAAGTGATATTTCCAGGTAAAGTTCTAGTGTAGCTTTTGCAGGATTATGATTTGTACCTGGGCACGTGAAAACAAAAACATCTCACGTAGGAAAGAGTCAGATAGTTCTCTTCTACAGCCCATGGTTACAGAACAGGAAACAAGGAAAAACCACAACAACCAAGGGTAAGTTTGGGGTGCAATACTGTATCACAAGCAGCTCTGCAACATAGGAGGAATTAATGCATGAAGAATGTTGGTGGATTTTAGTAACCACTCAAAATGGTTCAGAGATCAAACAAAATCTGCTGACTGCTGTAGGGCTAAGCACTTTCTCTATCTCCCCTTTTATAGTCTTACTAAATAATAAGCCCAGGCCAGAGAGATGGATAAACTCATCTCATTGTGCCTGTCCTCTGTATGTAGCAGAGTAGCAGTAGACCAATACGTGCATAAACTCTGAAATCCATAGTCATCTTATACCTTAAAGCACCTTAAAAAGCAGAATATTTGTTCTTAATAAGAAGTTCAAGTCTGCCTTCTTCAGGTTTTAAAATATCCTAAAGTCAACATGTATTAACAGAGTAATTAGCAAGAAGAAATAGTTGCAAAAAGCAAGGAGTTTTTATTATTTACGTGAAGAGGTTAGAAGAGTATTCTCAATAGCAATACTAATTCTTCCTACAAACATTTTGTGAGTAGTTGTGATATAGTAATACACACATCTACATACCTACCTAGCAGCCAGTACTACTCTCATAACCTTGATGTTGATGGTTCATTTTCACTGCGTTTTGTTAAGGTGTCAGTGCCAAGATCAATTTCCCTCAGCAACAGAGTTCTCTGTAAATAGATTCAACTGGAATCTGTCATAAATTAGTCTTTTGTTTTGTTTTTTTTTTAGAAACAATTTGCATGATTGCGATTTTTCTACCCTTTGCCAAGTCACAGTGTTTTGAGACCTATCAAGTGAGCAGTGAAAAAACTATAGTGAAGATTTTCTAGGCAGCACTCCACATTGTGTGGATGGGGCTGCAGGGGGTGGGCAAGAATTATCTGCCACCTAGGACTGATACTTTAAAACTTTTTATCTGTCCCAGCCTAGTAGATATACTTGAGTGTATGCTCAGTAGTTTCATGTAGGATGAGGTTCCCCACAGAATATGTGCATGGAGACCTTCTTCTAAAACAAAAGTAAAAATGACAGTGCTGATGTCCACCTTTCCTCTTTTTTTAGCTGAGTGCTTGACCAGAAAATAGTATGTGTAGGCATAATGCCTAGGAGATGTAAGAGCCAAAGCAGCAGAGTGCACTGGTAGATTATTCACTGGTTTAGATGGAGGTTCTCTGTTCCCCCAGTATGAAAGAGGTGTTCTCTGTTCTTCATATATAAAACTGCATTTCAGGTGGTTGCTCATGCTCCTTTGAAAATCCTTTCTGTTCTCTTCACATAGACTCTGGTCCTAGTCTTGGACTGGATCTCTGATTTCTCTCATCATGATCCCATAAGTTTAATGTTTTCATCATTGGAAAGCCCACTTTTAATTGTGATTCAAAGAGATCACATTCTGAATGAAGATGAATCTCCCTACCAAAAGAAAACTGTGTTTACAACAGAATCCCACAAGTTAATTTCCTTACAAAGTTTACTTTACCCTTAGCTCACCACAAGCCCTGTTCCCTTCCCTGGGTCAGAAGGGACAGGTTCTCTTGGTCTTGGAGTAATCCCAAGTCTGCTGACATCTTGTTTCTCTTTCCAAGGCCACTGACACAGGTATAACATACCCCTGATCCTGGGGTCTGATCAGGAAATAGAAGCTTCTTTCACTAAATGAGTCTCAAAATAGGTCTGAATTCCTTTGAAGCAGTATGCATCAGGTGCCTCATCTTTGTATTTGTTCCAATCTTGGTTTTAGTTCATCTGAACAGACACGAATCCATCATAAACAGGACTCACCATGCATTCCTAGTCTACCACTGTCTCATGTTCTTTCCTATGAGATCCAAATGCCCTACTTTCAACAGTTATTGATGTTCTGGGCTTAGCTCCCTGTGCATCCTGCTGCTTTGTGCTAACCCTGCCTTTGAAAATAATAAAATGTAGTAAGGATTGTTAGAAGATTCTTTAGTGGAGTTCTTCTCCATTTCTATATACTAAAGCACTTGCTTCAGATCCTAAGAGGAGGAAAATTTCATTCCAGTGGAGATAAATTCAAATGCAGAACTAAGCTGCAAACTTTTCTTAATCTATTTTAGTCTGTTGTGTCTTAGTGCTCCATTTGGATAATTAGGTATGGCTTCGTGAAGGAAATCAGGTGCAGTCATTAATGGCAATCTAGGTGCCTGCTGATTTCCAGAACAAGTGAAAAAGATTAAGAAGAAATTGAAGTTTTCAGTAAACACAAATCTTAGTTTCTAGGTGAACTCAGTCTTTCTGCTTTATACATATGATAGTTGTTTCCATATTGAAAAAGCTCTCCACTCTCTCTCCCTGTTGTATGAAGCGATCTGTAGTTTGCTTTAATCACTGTGTGTAATTACTTCTTAAAGATAATACCTTCTTTATGGTCACTGCTTGTGCTACAAGTCAGAAATAAGCCTTTACACTAAGCTAGTCCTGCAAAAATCTTTTTGATCCTTTTCGAGTCTAGTTGGAAACAATGAAAGAATCAAATATTCTCAGACTTCAAATGGTCCAGAACAACCTTCCTTTCCCTCATTATCTGGAGTCAAGGCTTTCTTTTTCCAGCCAAATAAGCATCAAAGGATCACAAACTTGGAAACTGCAAGTTATGTAGGATTATTGTAAAATGATTGCAATGAACTCTTTTATTATAAGAATCAGTGCAGTACTACTTTTGCAGTTCCCAGTTCAGTATTTGTTATAGAGAGAAACGCTCATAAGTGAAACATTATGGGATTCATTAAGTGTAATTTTATAGGTTGTAGCTAAAACCATTGACACTCAATAGAAATTTTTAATACAATGCCTTTTGTTATACATTATATTGAATATTGTATGTACATCCAAGATAGTTTGGTCATAGTTATGTTTCTGTTAACAATGATTAAGGGCAAAATAACATTTCTTTTACCACATAGTTCAACAAATCAGCTGCACAGAGACACTGAATTCTAATCCAAGAAATATTTCCATGTAAGCAAGGAACAATTGCTAAATACTGCTGAGCCAGCCAACACAGAGCGAGTGTATGCCAGAAAAGTAACAAATGAAACCCTGCCATGTATACTGCTGCAGGAACCACTGGGAACATCATCATTCTGGGTGTTCCTAATGGGGTGCCAGAAATCTTTCTTCTTTCATGGTGGTCAGGGGAAGATGTAGAGCACTGCCTTGCAGACTTGTACAACTAAAAGAAAATGCAATAACTCTCCTTTAGATAAACTGGAGAACATATGTTTTGCAGAATCAAGAAGAAAAGAAGGAAAATCAGCATGGGAGTAGGCAGCATCTTGATTTATGTAACTCCTTTTTGAAGGACAGGAACCCTTTGGTTCAGTCAGGGCCTAGAAGTAATTCCTTATACAAACCAACTTGAACTCAAAGCCAATAGAAAATATTTTTTTTAAAAAATCCTCTAGCTTTTAGTAAGATTTTTACCTTTGTAGGAACAGGTGAGCTGATATGGAAGAAAACAGCTTGGTATCACTACTTCAGGGTTTGTCTCTCCCAGTGCAATATGGCTGAGAACGTGGCAAAGGCTTCTTGGCATCTCCAGGTGAGAACATCTCATTCGTCTTTAGAGTTTTGTGATATATTAAGAAGGGACAATGCAGAACTGAGGAACCTCCATACTCTAGCCTGACCCATTAATAAGATTGTTACCTTCCTCTCCCTGTTAAGCCCAGTAGAATCTAAATAGAAGAACAATTGACCCTTTGCCCTACCACACTGGTTCTTGATCTGCAATAGCTGACATTTGCTGGACCTGGCCTGTAATGGTTTGTCTGCCTAAAGAGACCACAGATGACAATTTCCATAGTTGCTAAGCCGTTAAAACAAATAATGATCACATTGTGAAGTGCTGTTGAAATGTTCAATACTGCATTTTTTTCATGTGACTTGTTCTTTATATCTCAGTGTTGAGCTCCAGGAATTCAAAAGGCACCTGATCTTGGCCATCCATAGGCAGTTGGTTTCTGCTGCACTGCACTGGCTTTTGATGTCAAAGATGGGGGAAAAGTCTGAGAGGAAGGCTGAACAGTGCTGGTCAAGGTAACGGCTGAGCTGTCCCGACTTTCCTTTTCCTGTCATCATGTCACTAGGTCCTGAAATTATTTGGTTTGACTGTAGGTTGGCCCATGACTTTTGCTGCTGTGTTTGCATGTACCATGCTCAAGTCTGCTACACCCCATGCAGAAACCACAGCTCTCCTCTTTTCCCCCAACCCTTCTTCCTCCTCTCCTTCCAACCCCTACTATTACCTCATAGGGTTCTGCTAAGAGGGGAGTCTTTGAGAACTGGTCTTTCTTCTCTAGAAACTGCTCGCTCTGTCTCTCTCTCGTGCAAATACGCAGCAAGTTTCTGTCCTCGTTGCACAAGCTTTAGGAAGGAAAGAAAGAAAGGGTGACTAACACTGTACACCAGTGTTATCAACAAGTGTCTACACCAGGTCAAATCTCTCTGTTCCTCCTCGCCCACATCTGCATGCACCAATTTCCATCAACCCTGCATCAAAACACCAATAAAGCTGTGTCAAGTGCACAGCAGGATGATTTAATGGAAAACCAGATCCTTTAAACTACACCTCATCTGTGAAATACCATTGCAGAACAAGGGAATCTCTTGCTCTAATATTATACATTAATATTATAACTGTCTCAGAACAACAAAATATATTTAGTAATCATGTGTCTGGAACTGCAAGGCAGCAGGAGCCGCCATGTGACAGGGCAGGTTTTTCCAAGGACTAGCAGCTGCCTAAGCCAGCATCTCTGCTGAGCTCTTCAGGATTCCAAACAGCTGCAGCTGGATGAGTACCTGCCTAAAGCAGATTTTTCCACCAATCTACCAGAAAATGTATTGAAATTTACTGTTATTTTTTATTTCTCATCAAACTGTCTGGAAGCAAGTAAAACATATAGTTCAGTACCATAGCTTAAATTTTATTAATAATGAAAAGCCAGATGAGATGCATGTGTACCTAGCTTATCACTCAAAATCGATACTGCAACTGGTATTCACGAACAGAAAAAAAGAATTAGAGCCTTAGTCTGGAAAGCTCTTACTCTCCATCCCAGAAATTGCAAAAACTATCATAATGAGGGGCAGGAGTCAGTTGTTTCACTGGTTTTCCCTGTCGATAGGCTACTAGCAGCTGGCAGTTTTCTATTGCTGCCAGTCATTCATTTCTCCTTCACATTTCTCCTAAAAGGAAGGGCATGGATAGATGTTGGTAATGAAGCTGAACTCTTCATACTCACTGTTTCTCATTTTTTAAAGCTACTGTCTTATGTGGCCAAAGGACACGATGGAGATGAAAGCAGGCACCCAAATGGTCCCAATCAGAATTTTTATAAGTTTTTTTACAGTTCTGTGTTTAGCCAAACTGATTTCTATATCCCTTAGCTGAATACATTGATTCCTCTTCTTTTTGCCTTTCTCCATCAAGCCAGAGGCAAACAGCTGCTCTAATGGCACATGGAAGCTGCTTGGAAAGCTAAACCTTAGGTACACATCTCAAGAGTTTCCCTTCCCTTCAACGCTGCTATTACTAATACAGAAATGACATTACCATGGGAAAAACTTGATGTCTTTGCATACAATAAATTATTTGAAAGGATATATCAATGTACAGTCACAGGCAGCTTTGGATTATTAAAACTGAAAAAAAAAAAAAAAGTAGCTTTGGCTTCAGTTCTGCAATTTGGGTTTTTCCACACAGGCTTTACCATCTTCCTCTGGAGTCAGTGGCTGCAACAGCTCAGCTGTAAAACTAATACCCACGCCCTGGTGAGAACAGTGGTGTCCCTCACTTGAGTAACACCATCCAGGCTGAGCTCCCAGTCCCAGCAGCTCTTGCTTTGCTCCCCTGCATAGACACAGCTCTCTCCAGCCTGGCCTCTCACAGCAGCTCCAGCCTTACCTGCAATTTACCACGTGGGATGATTTCTTTAAGAGAAAACAGTTCTCAGCTTGCAGAAGCAGTGGTAAGAATCGGTATTTAAAGCTGTTCCTGTCGATCTACAGTGATGGAAGGGACAGCAGACATCAGTGCCTGCCCATTACCCCCGTTTTCAGACCTTGCACAAACAGGCCTTCCAGACAAGGAATGCCTCACACAATGACAGCCCCAATGTGATTTCAGCTGCCCTGCACCTCACAGCCTTACCAAAGGACAGGCTCTGCTTTTAGCGGGTGACCAGGTGTCACGGGGGGATCAGAGGGCAAGAGCCATATGGCAGCGGCTGCCCCAGCTCACAGACCCTGCTGGAGAGGGGGAACTGGCACTTCCCGACATCAGGACACAGCATGTCCCCAGGGCGGGGGCACAGCACAGACCTGTGCCACTGAGCCCCTCAGCCCCTGCCCAGTAGCTGACACAGCCACCGAGGGAACCCTCAGCTACCAGTGCCAGACATGCAGCTGCTTTGCCCAAAGGCTGTGGGATCAGAGGCATTCAAGGAAAACAAGCGGAAGAGATCAAATTATGTGACTTCTGTCATGTTTTATGGGGCCCATGTACTGATGGAAATGCAAGGAGGCCTTTTACCACTCTAGACAGGCAAACTCCTGGACCAGGGCCTCCGCAACAAGAATTTCACATGTGACTTGCTGGTTAATGGGATAAGAAAAGCAAAATGGCACTGGAATTCTGTAGCCAGCAAAACAACAGCAGCCCAACTAATCTCTATGATTCACAGATTCTTCATGTTTCCTTCAAGTACAGCTGATTCTTGAAAGACTTCATGTGAGAAAAGGCTTCTGCACACTGAGTAATCTCATCAGATGGTGAATGTGGTATTAAGTCATCTCAGTCAAATAGTCACAATTAATATAAAAAAAATTAAAATCAAGACATCACTGATAAGGTACACATCACCAATTCCAAGAATTCCAAATAATTACCAGATGATTTTTTCGTGAGAGCCAATTCCTGCAGCTCAGTTGCTCTGAGATTGCCAGCTGCACAATCTTTTTCCACATTTGATTGCTACACTGCAACTCTAAGTCAGAAATTTTTCTGTGAAAAGAAGAAATCCCCTACGAAATTCCTCTTTAGGGTAGCCCTGATCAGAGACACAGTAGTTATTGCCCAGCCTCTTTTCACTTAACTCAGTTTCCCAGCCTGAACATCTACAGTCACTGGAAATAAATCAGAGGTTTAATTTCACTTCACACTCTTTTAGCTTTATTACAAAATTTTCTACTCCCTCAACTTTAAATGTACATTTTTGTTTTAAATGAGATAATCTTCTGTGTCCCGTGTTCTCATACTTAATGCTGGAGTTACAAGGAGAATTAAAGAAAAAAATCCACATTTATTTCTTTACCAGTGTTCTTGCAAACAAGTCTGCCATTTTCCAGTTATCATCAGTCATTGTGCACTTGTGGCCTTTCCTGTTCACACAGTCCCAAGGAATCACTGAAGAGAAACAACATGCAGCTGATGCACCAGCAAAACATCTGCACTGCACCACGTCAGTTCTAGCTACTAAATTGCAGTGCAGGATTTTCTTTTTTCCAGGGCAAGTCTTGCCCTTACACAAAGTAACAGCAGGGGGAAGTAAAGCCTCTGTTTGGAGCGATTCTTCTCCTCCACTAGCTACATGAATACAACGAACTGTTTGCCTCGTTTAGCAATCATGATAGAAAACCCACCGGGTGTCAAGAAGCATGTTTAATGTCCTAAAATAAACACTGTGCCCGTGATCTGCAGATTTCTATTCACCTTTTAACTGAGCCAGACTATTTACTCTAACCTACTACCTGCACTTAGCTTATTATTCCAATTAGCACTGAATGCATTCAAAGTAAAAGGCTCATTTCTCCCAGCTGTGAGGGTTAACAAAGATTTTGTGCAATGACTTCAAGATGTGTACCCCTATAATGCACCTCCAGTTCTGATCATCACACACTGTATTTCACGTACTAATCTGGAGTACAACTACTTTTTGCCCACAACCTCTCTCCAGTCCAACAGATTGCAAATACTACCAAGGCACTGTATAGTCTAAGTAATGGCTCCTTTATAATCATTAAATCAACAGTTTAATTTAAAGTTTTCTGAGTTTTTCAAATTAAATTGAATAAAGACTTGAATTTACCATACCTATAGTTTCCAAGTGAAAGGTACAGCAAAGTATCTGGGGGAAAAATCCACACGAAACAAGTGAAAAACAGATACATTTTATTATTTGGAATCTGAAAAAAACCCCTGAACTAGTTTTTCCATTTACAAGCATTTGTTCAAATGCGAGTGGCCAGCAGTAGAATTAAGACTTCACTAAACAACCTAGAAGTTTTGCAAACGCCTTTGGGCAGTGCACAACATGGCCTTAATGCTGTGATATGAAATGCTGGACCCAAAGAAAACCTCAGCAATACTGAGCAGGAGCAGAGAAAAACCCAGCGGGAACTCCAGGAACCCTGTACCTTGACAAAACACATCACAAGGCAGCAGTGAGCATAACATGCACAAGTCCTTGTTTCAGGAACACAAAGTTTACAGAAACACATTCAGAAATGCTGATGATGGTACTGTTTTAGAGTAGTGACAGAGGTTACAGAAAGTGCAATTAAAAGAAAGCACAGGCTGCCAAGGGGCTATTTTAGTGTTTGGAGAGCAGCACAGGGCTGAGAAACTGCAATCAACTTCAATTCAGCCGTTTTGCCAAAAATGACATTTGTCTTTGGAAAGGGTAAGCCAAGCCAAGCCAAGCCAAAGAGAGAATGCAAGCTCATCTACAATCAATAACAAATCTCAAAATAAATTAAACACACTTCAAAATCAGGTTTGGTCACTAAAGGCTCACTAAATAAACAAACAACAAAATATTATTGGAAAACAACCCCAAACTATTTTTGGCTGTGCTAGCCTGGGGGGAGGGGCCCGCTGCCCTGGGCAGAAAGCCAAGCAGGGCTGTCGACACTTGCTAAAGCCCCACTCCCCCTCTCCCTGCCTGGCTTTTGGATGACCTCCCTGTTGGCACATTGCACATCCTTCCTCTGCATCCCTCCCACCTCTCCTCATCTCCATCCCACCCCCAAAACTAACCCTCCTTGCCTTTGCCACGAGCAAGGA